CAAGGTGGAACGCTTTGCTCAAGTTTCTGCAGCCCTCCTGGAGATAAGAAGATCTGCTGTGGTCACTGAAAGCACAAGAGTTAATGTTTACAAGGCTTTGAGCCAGGCGTGGCCTGTAAGGGAAGAGACTCCCGCAGGGCCAATTTTGATTGTTTGATCCCCTGCAGGCTTCTTTGCGTATGTCGACACCGAGAGCCCGGATCTCCAAGAGGGAACAGCTTGGCTGAGTAGCCCAACGTTGGCCCTGGTCCCCAACCATTCATGCTACGTGAGTCGTCCTGGGCGTCCCCTAAGCCCCCAGCTGGACAGGCTGGCCGCGCTGCTCTTTTCTGTTGAACTCTTACGATGGTCTTGCAGGTCGTTGTCCCTCTTGTTGTCAGAGCAGCCCCTTTGGGTACTCGCCTCTCAGTCTTGAATCCCCCCCAAGACTCTGGGGATCTGCCCCCGAATGGTGGGTAAAAAGCAAACCTCTCAGTGATTTGCCCACATCCCAGACAGCGGAAGCCTCAGATCTGCCCTCCTTGGAGTTGCTGAATGCAGGGACAGGGAGGGGAAACCGGGCCTTGGGTTGCCGATCCCCCCATAAAGCGGTGTTGGCTCTTGGCTGGTTTTCCTTCCAGCTGGTTCTCTACATCCACCTGCATGGCTTGAACAGCAACAGCCTCCACATCTATGCCCAGACAGCAGAAGCAATGCAGCACGTCTGGAGCCGCACGGGAGACCTGGGCAACTACTGGTTCCGGGAGAAAGTGGATTTCCAGGTGGCACAGAAGTTCAAGGTAGAGGAAGCCTGGAAGCTATGGTGCCGGGTGCCCAGACCCCCGAGGCGCAGCAGGGCTGGCAGGCTGACTTGGGCAGTCAGAGGCGTCCCAGCAGCTCCTCTGGCGTCGCTAAGCAGCAGGCCCGTATTCGTCCTCTGGCCCGTATTGCTCAGGTTGCTTTTTCTCTCAGATCATCATTGAGGGCCGGAGGGGGATGGGGCACGGAGGGAGTATCGCCCTGGATGACCTTCGTCTGTCGCCTCACTGCCAGGTGCAGGACAGTGAGTACGAGAAGTAGAACAGCCTGGCCGAGCCGTCAGTCTCCCAGCTCGCCCACGGCCTAGCTCAGAGGCTCCTGCGTTTCAGCTAGGAGTCTCTCCCGGCCCCACTGATCTGGGTGCCTCTGGTGGCAGCGCTGCTCTTGAACTCCATCGCCTCCCCCTGGGCGGTGGGGCGCAGGGTCTTCCTGGGGAGGTGACGTTTTCCTCCTTTTCCCCGGCTGGTTAAGGAAGTGCTGAGACTGGGTGGCTCTGCCCCAAGGGCTGGTGTCCGAAGGGGTCTCTGTCTCTGTAGGGGGCTTGCACTTGGAACGTCAGGGGATGGCATTGTCGGGGTTAACCCCAGCAAAGGATTCAGCCCCCAGCACCCTCTTTTCTGTCCTCCAGCCCCCCTTCTGCTCTGCTGGAAGCCCCACAAGCTGCCTGACCAAGGGGGGTGGGGCCAAACCCCCTCCGGATGCCCCGACCCTTCCCGCCGGTGGCGAAACTGGTCTCGTGCAGTGAGGTGCTGGTGTTTGTCCCTTTCAGCCCCGCTCCCGACTCCTCCCCCGCTGGAGCCCTCCCGCCCCCCTTGTGCCCAGGGGCAGTTCGCGTGCAGCCGGGGCAAGCAGTGCATCAGCCTCGAGCAGGTCTGCAACTTTGAGGCCGAATGTGACGACCGCTCTGACGAGCAGCAGTGCGGTAAGGGGCTGGAAAGCAATGGCCAGGCCAGAGCAGCTCGCCTAGCACCTCTTCTAACGTCTTTGGAGGTGCCATTTCATTTTCTCTGTGTGTGAGAGACTTAAAAACACAGGTTTTAAAACAGGAAGCACAGAAAGTGAGGAGCCCTGAGGCTCTCCCTGCACCCCCAAGCAAGTTTCTCTCCCTGCACCCCCAAGAAAGGTGTGCTTTGGGCTAGGGGCTGACTGTGCTTGTGGCAGAGGCCCCTAATTCACGGAGCAACTTTGCAAAAGCCAGTTTGGGGGGGAAATAGGAGGTGGGAGCGCTAGGGAGGTGCGCTGAAAATGAAGGCAGGATAAACATCCAATCCACCCACGTCTTCTGATCTTCATAATCCATTCAGTTTGCAGAATTCAGCTTTCCTAGCTGCTGAATTCTGCGATGTGTAGCAAAGGCTTTCTCTGGAAAGGGAAAAGTATTACTGAACACAGTGGAAGAAAACGAAAGACAAAGTCCTGACCGTAGCCAGAAACGCTCGGCGAGGAGCCGAGGCTGAGGTTGGAGTGGAGGAGGAGGATAGGAGGGCCGGTCTCACCCCAGGATGGCTCCTGGCACGCTGCTCAGAAAATGCTCCCTCCCTCCCTCCCTCCAGGGATGACCGACTTTACCAGCGACCCCGGGGGCTGGATGGACATCAGCGTGGGCCGCCTGCGGTGGAACACCAGCTGGTTAAATTCTGTGGGTAAGAGGGTGGCAGGCTTCTTGGATGGCCAAGCCGGCTTAGAAGCGGGACTGGGGCGAGGAGGAGGAGGAGGAGTTGGATGGGCAAGATCCATAGACCCCTCTGTGCTGAGAGGCATTCTGCCTTTACGGGTGAGGGGTGCAGCTGTCTTTTGGTCAGCCTGGGCCCACCTTTGTCCCATTCCTCCTTAGGGCCCGTTTTCAGTCTGCAGGAAGGCCCAGGGCAGATGTTCTCCATGGCGCGGGCTGCTACTCCTGTGCTGGGTCCTTCGGGGTTAGGCTGTGCTCTGCAGATGGACTTCACCACTGGCCCACACGGTATTGGTGCCGCCCTCCGCCCGTTGTCCCCCTCGGCCCAGGTGGGTGCTGCTGGGCCCTGAAGTCACCGCCTCGCTCTTCTCCCCCCGCGCCAGGCTTCCTCGCTCTCGCCATTGCCGACGAGAGCCTGGGGACCCGCTGGTGGGCTTGGTTTGCCCAGGGCAATGGCTCTGCTGCCTGGTCAGAGGCCACGGTGCCCCTGGGCGCATGGAAGAGGCCCTTCCAGGTAGGGGCTGTCTGCAGTTCTCTCCGGGTGGGACCTGGGAGGGTCCTTCCTTTCTTGCTGCAGGCAAACAGCCTCGGCTCTGGGGAAGGCCGGTGGCAGGTCACCACTTGGGGTGCCTGCGGGTGCAGCTACACAGAGAGGAGGGGAGAGGCTACAAGTTGCATGTTCCCCCATGAACTCCCCCACCCCGTCTCTCTTTCCTGAGCTTGAGCTGCTGGCCACGGAGGACATCGGCAGCCCCCGGGCGCCCCTGCCACTTGCCATCAGCAGTATCTCCTTCGTGAACTGCAGCACCAAAGCCCTGGCCTCAGGTACCAACTCCCTGCCCTCCTCGTGCTTGGCAGCTTGGCCCTCACCAGCCTTGCGCCATCAGTGGGGCTGCAGGCGTTGGGGAAAACGACAACGAAGTGGGGTGCACAAACCCATTCTGGGTGGGATAGAAGTAGACATACTTCTCTTCCTCCTCTGTTGGCTATTGCTGGTCTGGGAAGCATCCCCAGGAACACCCCCTTGACTGCGTCGGCCAGACCCTCTTTCTCCACCCTCTGTCCCCCCAGCCTCCCAGGCACAGCTGTCCTGCAACTTTGAGACCGACTGGTGCAGCTGGTATCTGGAGCAGAGCAACGGCTTTGACTGGAAGCGGAGCAGCAGCCAGGGGTGGACCATGGACCACACGACGGGCTCGGGTAGGGCGGCAGAGAGCGGACTCGGGGTCTGGCTGCACAGGGGTCTCCAGGCCAAATCCCAGCCCAATGTGGCTGGCTGGACTTTGGGGCCCCAGGTGGCTTGGAGATGTATCCCGAAGGCTTGGCAGACTCCACTCATGCCAAGAAGCTACAATAGCCTCTTCGCTACCAGCAGAAGCCACAATGGAACAGGCAATTGGGCTCTGATTTTCACTTGCACAAAATGATGTTCTTGCTCCAGAAAGACGTGTGAGTCAAATAGTCATCCGTCTAATTCAAAATTCTCCACGCTCTCTCCCCCCAACTGTCAAAACCCTTTGTTTTGGTCGTGGACCATCCTTACCTAACACAAATTGTGGAAATAAAACAAAAGATCAGGTAAGGAACACGAAACAAAATGGAATGAAAGACAACTTGAACGCAGCAGCCTGTGCAGGGGTTAGACCAAGGGCAGCGCCTCCAAAAAGATGCTCCCTTTGCTGCCCGGTCAGCATTTTGCAATTCTCCTCTCCTGTTCAACAGGCTCTTTCCTATTTGTGGATCCCTCCGGACCCTGGACCCGAGGCTGGCGTGCCCGCCTCATTTCTGCTCCGCAGACTGCTGCTGCTGCTGCTGCTGCTGCTGCTGCTGCTGCTGCTGCAGAAGTCTCCTGCATTTCCTTCTGGTACCGCATGGATGGCCCCCAGATTGGTGAGTGATCCTGGTGGGCTCTCCTCCACTTTTGCGAAGGCTCCAGAGCACCACCAGCCTGCTGCTGCCTCTTGCGGGCCTCCCAAAGAGGAGAAGAGCTGGTAACAGAGCGGCAGGCATCGGAGGGCGGTTAGGCTGTCCTGCTCCAGCATTAGGGTGGAAGCCTGCAAGGGGTGCAGCAGTGCCCTCCCGCCCCACCGTCTTTCAAAAGCATCTTGGCAGCCTTTGCTCCATCCTGTGGCAGAACGTCTGTAGGTTAGCCAGAGCTACACAAAGTCCTTTGCTCTTTATCACGCCCTCTGCTGCCTTTCTGAGCTCCGCTGGAGTTTTCTGAGAGCTGCTTACATTCACACGCCATCTTTCATCTGCCGAGGAAAAAGATCTTTTCTGATCAGACGCTCCATAGTCTTCCAGCGTGTTTTAAATGTATGAAGGCAGCAGAATCCTGGGATTTCTTTAGCACGATGGAGCAATTAATTGACACTTCTGGGTTTGCATCCTTCAGAAGACTATGTCTGCCTACACACACGCACGCACACACACACACACACACACAGCTTTTGGTTTTGCAGGTACCCTGACCCTCAAAATGAAGGAGGCTGGAGAATCGGAGCAGGTGCTTTGGACCAGGACAGGGAGTGATGGTGCGGTTTG